GGGATCGTGGACAAGGTAAGAGACTGTAATCCCGAGTGTGGCTCGGGGTTACCGCTTACGGTACTGAAAATTAACCCGAGCCACACTCGGGAATACCGCCATGGAGGTTAGTGGGTGCATTTAAACATTATTTCGGGCTATGTTCGTCGTATACGACGAGTATAGCCCAAAACCTATATTTTAAACACAAAAAGTAGGGGGGGGGGGCGTCTTATACGCCGGCAAATACGGTACTTGCTCTACAACCCCACTGAAGGGTGTCCAGGGACATTTGATTTTTCGTGTCATGTGAGATGTGCCACTAACCTCCAACTGTAAAAAACCATCTACATTTGTAGAAGAATAAAAACTGTAGAAATGACAACTACATGCCGCCTTCTTCTGTATGCAAAAACATGAAGAAAAAAGGATCTAATTTCTATCTACCTCACGTCACCTCAGTGCAACAAGCATCAGATAACGCCTGGAATCTGTCATAACGCCACCCTGAAGGTGGAGATAAATTTACATCTCAATAACAAGTGATAAAAGGACCTTTTCCTTTTGCGAACTGCATTTCAAACATATTTCATCACTCCAGTTGTTAAAATAACGTCTGAGTAGTTGAAATAACGTCTGAATGGTTAACTACTTCCTAAAAATAAGAAGCGTTATTGAGTTTTGTGAATGGACTACCTTTACACAGCAACTATATAACAATCGAGATCAATGAAATAACGGCCGAAATGATGAACAAGCTTTGTGAATTGACCCCAATGTCTTTGTTTTTTTATTCTTCTTAATGTCTCACCTTTTATCTAATGCACGTAGCACTTTGGCAAAGACCTCTAGCTCACAGAACTCACTTCCGAGCTGACACAGTCGACCTTGCTGGTAAAGCTGAAATAGAAAACCATTGGCAAGTTAGAGGAAAGTAATGCTTAAAAACTGTTTTAGTAGTTGTGACTCTGCATACTTTTTTCCCTTTTTTTTTTTAAGAGATCAGCAGTTAAGGAAATGAATTAGAGGAAAGTAATGCTTAAAAACTGTTTTAGTAGTTGTGACTCTGCATACTTTTTTCCCTTTTTTTTAAAGAGATCAGCAGTTAAGGAAATGATGCCCTGCTAACAAAAAAATGTTGCTGACCTATTTCAGACTTAGAAATATATTTTACTTGTGCAGTCCTACTCGCAGCACTTGGAGATGGGAAACATTTCAAGTCCATTCACATTGTGGTGTTGAAGAACTCTGAGCAAATAAAGAAATTAAAAATCACATCACGTCTCATGAAGGTCCATTGACTCAGTTAATTCCCTAGCACAGCCCCATCTCTGCTTCTCAGCTCCAACCTTTTATGTGGCTGCTGGGAGAGAGGCGAAGGAGAATACTATAACCTGCAACTTAGTGACAACTGAGTCTGCGGTCATTACATCCTAGGTGGCAGTGCCAAGCTTCAGTTTCAGGCCTTTTGGAGATAGAGACAATGGAGGCTTTTAGAGGTAATCCCATGCTTAAAAATACATAAAAACGCACACACAGTCCTATCCAAAGCTTTTTGCCGAAATAAATGGTCTGGCAACATGGTCTCTAATGACAAGCTAGTTAACTGAAGCAGTGTCTATGAGAAGTGTGGCCAAAAGCTGCTTCACTGATGAGGGCAATCCCTGGTTAAAACATTGTTTGATTGCCTCTGACTACACAGTAAACTGATGCCTCTACCACAGACAGAACTGGCCCTTACTCAGTCATGGCTGAGAGATAGAAGTGCCAATAAAGTATTGGTCGGCCTCCAGGATATTCCAGCCCCGAAAATAAAGGTTCTCTTTTTAAGCTCACCCCCCTGCGTATGTATGTATGTATGTATGTATGTATGTAATATAAAATCACACTAATAAAAAACAGAAATGGCTGGCTTCTCACACACTTCAAATTTTCAAATGGCTTGTTGATGGAACCAGGCAAAATTTTTTTAGCCGAACATGGACTGTTGGGGTACTATCAAAATACAATAGGCTGGCAGGGAAGATTCCCCAATTCATGTACTGAAGCATGGTGGTGGCAGCAGCATCATGCTGTGGGGATGTTTTCAATTCACAGTAACTGAAAAACTGGTCAAGATTGAAGGAAAAAAAAAAAGGAAAGACACTAAATACATGGCAATTCTTGAAGAAAACCTGTTTCAGGCTGTCAGATTTAAGACAAGGACAGAGGTTCATCCTCCAGCAGAACAATGACCCCAAGCATACTGCTAAAGAAACACTGGAGTGGTTTACAAGGAAACATTTAAAAGTCCTGGAATAGCCAAGCCAAAGGCCAGACCTTAATACAATTGAGTATCTTTGGCATGACCCAACTGAGTGAGCAGGATAGAGGCGGAGGAAAAAAATAAATAAAATAAAGTCACGTAGGGAAACGTCCGCCCGTGTATTTACGATGGGCGGACGTTTCCCAGCAGGCGGACGTTTCCCAGCAGGCGGACGTACACGCACGTGACTTGTTTTTTCCCCCTGCTCGCGCTTGCAAGCAGAATCCCGCCGGCAAGTGGTTGAGTCACGCCAAATGACAGATCAGCATTCTCCTACTTGCTGATCTCTCCTTCGATCTCTAAGGGTGGAAGTGATGTGCATTACATCACTTCCGCCTCTAGCAGTCATTTCTCTGGCTGCTTTTAGCCAGAGAAGAAGCTAGTGAAGCAGATCTGTGCTTCATCAGCTTCTTTGGGGGTCCCACTGTGACACTAGGGGTCTAGAGACCCCTGTCTCCATAAAGAGAAGCTGTCAGCGTATATTGGATAGAAATAAAGTGAAATTTAAAAAAAAATTAAATTATATTAAATAAAACCCAAAAAGTTTAAGTTCCCCGACCCCGCATGCACGCACATAAAAATGTACATACGCGTCAGGTGCGGCTACATGCGAAAACAACAATTACGCCACACATCACAGCGAACTTGACAGTGAGAGCGAAAATTCTAGGGCCATTAAATCACAGTTTGCACTAAGCTGATGTTTTTAAGTAATTTTCAGGCCTAAAATGTGGAATATAACATGGGTACAAAAAATGAAAAAAAGGCCTCAGTCATGAAGGGGTTAAAGTGTCGTCCCATGGCCAATTTTAGGCATGGTAGTGTATCGCGATTTCGCGGGTGCACGCAATTTTAAAGCTCGACATGTTTAGTGTCCATTTACCCAACGTGACTCCGTCTTTTATATTTTACCAAAAACATTTGGGTAAGGATAAATGTTTTATAACATAAGGAAAACGTGTTTTCTTTTTTTCTAAATGTCCGGAATTTTTTTCATTGTATAGTAAAAAAATGAAAACCCCAGTGGTGATTAAATATGACTAAAGAGACTAAAAGAAAGCTCTACGCGTCTCCCAAAAAAAAAATTAAAAAAAAAATGGTAGAAAATGCATTTCAGTAGAGTGTTGAATGACTGAATAAATGGCAAGTACTGCAGCACTGAATACTGAAAAATGGCCACCTGGGCAAATCTGTTGCACCTTTTCCATCTGACCACAGAAAATCTGCAGATAAATTGTAAGGTGTGTGGGCACCTTAAGACCTGGAATTATCCATTTTGTCTGATGAAAAAAAAAAATCCTGGCTTTTTAGATGCTTTGTTAAAAGTCATTTTTCAGTATGCTGTGTCAATAGGAACACATAATGAACATATAGTGGGGTTTTCTCAAAATTAACTGCAAAAGCGGAAATACACTTTAAAGATTGCTGCACACCAAAGCAACCATTGAACTTAAGAGCTGGATCAATTTTGTCTTGACAAATAGGCAAAAATTCCATAGGCTACATGTGCTAAGCAAATAGGGACGTGAACCATGAGGCTTGCAGCAAATGGTGGCCCTACAAAGTTTTGGGGGTGAATACTTCTACACATTCAAGATTTTTGATCTTATTACATAAACCCCCAAAATACATTTTTAGTTTAGGATGTAATGCAATAAAAACAGGAAAAAAAATTAAAATCACAACAAAGGGGTATTTATTGCAAGTCATTATATAACCATGATATACAGGGCATGTTGTGCTTTAAAAAAAAAAAGAAGCCATAACTGCTGCAGTACAGCAAGTTATACGCCACTGTCATGACCTGCAAGCTTGGTGCTACTGAAATGTGAACTGAAACATGACTGAAACATACACAGCACCTGTGTATACTATGACTGGGTTGTTATGGAGTATGGTGACTATCAACACTACAAATACAATTATTAAAGAGCAACTACTACCCTGAATATGTTCACCAGTTCCTCGGCTGCACTGCTGAGCATTTATTTGGTGAGCCTGCAAAAGACGTCCAAGTGTGCTTGGCATTTAAGCATTGGGCAGTGTCCACATCACGTATTTCCACTTTTCCAGCCTGCCTACTGCATCCTGGCGTGTAAAGGTCTGCAACAGGAACCATGAAAATGTAAAAATCCCAGAAGTGCGCCTTTCTGAAACGTCTTCGGCAGGCAATTTCCCTTTTCAGCAAATCGGTGGCACCTGCAGTTCTTGGCAGGTAGCCATTTAGTTCAGGTTTTGGGGACAGAGTTAAAGTGCCCATACACCTGCCGATTATCGTACGATTATAGCGGAAAATCCAACGATCGAATGAAAATGGGCAGGTGTATGGAAGGCATGCAATAGTTTCTACTGTACGTTCACACGTCTTTTGTCCCGAGCAGGCTTGAAAATCCGCTGATAATCGTACGATTGTCGGCGTTCTCGGGAGACAAATGCCGAATGGGCTTGCCCGCTCAGCATTGCAGTCATCGGAAGCCCGCCCCTCAGCGGGGAGGGCTTGCGATAATCGCAAGTACGATCTGCCTGTCCAAGATGGGCAGATCGTACGAGCTTTTAATTACCTTACAACCATCGCAAGACGAAAGTCGTGCGATGGTTGTAAAGTGTATGGCCAGCTTTACCTACGTAGTATTCATCATACAGTTAGAAGAATTGCAAGTTGTTAAAAGTATTAAAGGATGACATTTGCACTAATGGTTGGAATTAAAATGAAAAGGTTAAAAAAAAAAAGATTTTTGGTTTTCGTCTCAAAATTTCATTTTGGTTCACCTCTAGTTTTGATGTTTTTTTGGGGCACAGGCCGTATGCATCTTTACATTATCCTCATACTCACTTTCTTAACCAGAGGTTTATACAAAAGTGGTTTTTAATAATTTTTAGAGTTGCTTTAAAAACAGATTAGCAGAGTGTGGAGCTGTCTGTCATGTACAGGTACACACATGAGCTGATCCTTCACCTGATGACTCAGTTTTCTCCAGCAGACAAGAATAGCAGAAGCTATAAATACATGTCTGTCATTGCCATACAAGAAAAGCATAGTTTAACAATAATACCCAAGATAATCTGACATTAGTTTTCCACTTTTGAAGAATACAAACACTACAAACAAACAAAAAGGCCACCAGGTGACAACTCAGATTTCAATGCAGAATGAACCCCATTTTCACCCTGCTAAAGGAAGTGGCATATCAACAAAAAACAATCCGTGCTACAGAGGCACTTCGAAAAAGAAAGGCAGCTGTGTTGCATTAATGTTAAACATGAGATTTAACCCACAATTTGACACTCCATAACACGGCTTCCCTAGATTCCATCAGGCAGGGAGAAAATATGTGGGAGATATGAAATGAACAGTCCATCATACAGGGGGTGGATAGCCCTGCTATTGCACATTTGATTGCACTGAAGCCACACCCACCGGCCGCATTGCGATCGGCCGCACGGGATCGCAAGGCACATTATGCCGGCGGTCCAGTGCAATCAAAATAGTGCTTGCAGCTTTTTGATCGCACCGGACTGCAGGCATGTGCCTTGCGATCCAGTGCGGCCGGAGGGCGTGGTTACGGTGCCATTCACTTGAATGGCCCGCCATGCC